CTTGGTTGTGGCCTGTTTTATTTCTTGAATTACGGTGCACCTCTCATAAGGAAGCCTTGAGACAAAGCTTAGCTGGTCTTTCTAGCAAGGTTAATTACTTGATATTGATAACTTTTATTTTTGATTGACCAAATTAAGATTGTTTATTGATTTAGAGTACTAAGGTACTCCTATTCATATTTTACAAATCTAATTTACAAAAACCAGCAAACATCTATTACATGTCTACTAATCTTACACATATACTTGGATTACAATATATTCCAATCATATAAAGAAAACTCACATACCTTTAACTTATCCTTTATACATAAAAATGTTTTAATTTGAATTGTTTCCACAATTTTATCATGGGGATTTTGGCAGCATCAAAAACCTTTCTATTCCTATAATTTCCCACAAATGTCAAGCATTGGATATAAACAGGAAAGATCATCTCCTTAAGCTTTCCATTTTGCCATAGCTGAGAAAGTTGTCTACATGCATCACAAATTGAATCAGATAGTGTGCATTGAATCCCCCACCATACGAATAATTTCTTCCAAATCTATTGTCCCCATCTATAGTTTATCACGAGATGAGCCAAATCCTCATCCTGTCCACAGCATACTGGACTTGATAAGCTTCCTCTCTCCACTAGAATTCCTCTTCTTACGGAATTATTCTTTGTTGGTAATCTATCCAGGAACATTCTCCATGCGAAGAAACACCCCTTCCCGGTAGAAGTTTATTCCATATTGCTCTACAAAATCTGCATCCAAAATTTGACTTGTATTCATTAAACCATATGCTTTCCTGGATCTATGCAAACCATTAGAAGTTTATTATATCAAAGACCCCTGAGTCATCATATTAAACTCTCAAGGATTTACTGTTCACATTAGAAGTTAAGACAATTATTGGTGCACACCCAGATCCAACACTCGACTGTGCACCTCCCACATAAAAAAAAAAAAAAATTGGACTAGGTGATGAGCATTTTTTTTTTTATATGATGTGTGCACACCCGGGTGTTAGATCCGGATGTGCACACATCATTTTCCTAGAAGTTAATAGCATCCCGATTGATCAAAAACGAAGTTCATAGCATCCTAGAATGCAAGATAGACTTTGTATGGTAGAATTGTTGATACTGAAATGCAGTATGGAAAACATGTGGCATTTCATGACCTTATGTTAGTACTTACATTATTTCTTTGTTTTTTATTTGGAGGTCATAATTTCAAGACTGAAAGCTGGTGTTAATGATGCAAATTCATTGCTTGATTCCTACCACCCATATTCTATGCAAAATCATAATTTTTTTTTTTCTTTTCAAAATTCAAGATAATATCTTATGCTAGGAAAAGCAATTCCATAAATAATTAACATTTATTATAATTAAATTACGAAGAATGGATACTCGTTTCTATTTGATAACTTCCACAATACCTTTCTATTTTTCCTTTAAGTATTTTTTTGTGGAAAAAGTAGAAATTTAACAAAGGAAGAAGGACTGTTTCATTTATGCAGGAACTTGAAGAACCACAGGCATGGACTGCTGTTTCGAAGAACTTGTTGACGTTACCTTGAAGGTGTGACCAGGAGAAGATTCGAATAAAGTAGAATGTGTGATTTTGGCTTCATAATCTCCATGAGGAAGGGAGGACTCATAGAAACCTTCAGAGTCTGTTGAGACCTCAAAGGCCTTGTTGATACCCCATTCACGCAGCAGCTTGTCAACAACATCTCCGGTGGGCAAATTCTTGAAATTATTATCAGTTAAACACATCCTATAACACCCTCCTGGTTTCCATGCTCCCCAGATCACAATACCATTCACCGCTGGATGAGAATGTACCTCCCTTAGAATCTGCTCCAAAAATTGTGCCTGCATCAAAAAATATATATATGAGAGTCTGAATCTTCCACATGGATTGACCAAATTAATCGCTCACAACTGTCAAACACATTATGTGTCAGAAAATACAAAATTAGGATGTTAGGAACAACAATCAAAACCACATAATAGACAGAACTCTACAAACCACACTGAGTCCCATCTATCTTGTAGCGACGATTAGATATCTTAATATTTTTTAATATCAATACATCTTGATTTTCTAAAATATATGAACTATATAGCACTGCCAAAAATTAAAATTTTAAACCTGATTGGGGTTGCTTAGTACGTCAAGCTCTGTAATCCAGATGGGCACTTTGGCGGCAGCAAGAGTGTCAAGAGAAGCTCTCACGTAAGGAATGTTAGGAACACCAAAATGGGACTCAAGCCCGATTGCAATATTCAAATCACCATTACCACGAAACCCCTTGATTTCTCTCAGCTTTCCAAGGTACTTTACCGGCACAGACTTACCGTCTCTACTATCCTCAATTGTATTAAACTCATTCAAGAACAAAGGGGTTCGTGAGTCTACGCCGCCAGCCAACTTATAGATATATGCAGAGATAGTTGCGCCGAGCTTGCTTTCAAAGAAGGAGAAATGTAGATTTTCGTTCACCACATCCCACGCGATGAGCTTTCCCTTGTATCTAGTCATTATGGAAGTTAATCTTCGTACGGCGGCATTGTAGAGGTCGGAGGGCGAGAGGTTGTAGATCCAACCGGCTTGGTATTGGGGGTCCTCCCATAAGACGTTGTGGCCACGAACTGCCACGCCGTGTTGTTGGGCGAAGTTGAGCATGGCGTCGGCCACGGAGTAGTCCTCGCGGCCCTGTGATGGTTCCGTGCTGTACCACTTCATTTCATCTTCAAATGTGGTGACTTTGAACCTTGAGGTGAACCAGTTCTGGTAGGCTTGGTTGTTGAGAATGTTCTTGTTTATAGCACAGCCGAAGGGAAATCCAGATGCCTTCTGGGAAATGGAGATTGTGGCGTTGGGTAGGGGGTTACCCTCTGCGTCGACTGCTTGAACTCTCATGTTTGTGTTACGTATCTGGACATGATTGCATATTGTTTGTTGAAATTACTCAATGAGAAACATGAAAATAAAAAACCTAAAGAGAATGGAGAATTTGATTCAGTTTACCTTTTGAATGCTTTGTTCTTGGTGAGAACTCCATTCCTTTTGGGTGAATGGTTGCAATGAGATGCTATCAACCCAGATGTCCACTGATATGTTGTCGCTCTACAAAGTGAAAAAGAATTTACATCAATTGCTGTAATATTTTGTTTATGAATTCAGTAGTCTGATCTTCACATTATACCCACTATGCGGATTCAAAGATTTGTTTAGAATCTTGGACCAGCGGAATAAGAGTTCGAGAAAGGGAATGGTTATTGAAACCTTACTTCAAAGTAAAGTTCGGCGGGGCCAGATTCATCAACACTAAGGCCACCCTTAAGCATGGACCAGCACTTGGATTCAGCAACCACTGCTCCAGCATGTTGGGCGCCGGTTGTTGTTTTGAAAACAGCGGTTACTGGCGCTTTTCCTTGGCTTACTTGTATCCATGCTGCATCAATGGAGACAGTATAGTTATATAACACCACACACAGTTAAAATAATGCCGATGATCCTGTTAATGAAGGACATATGGAGATGAAGAAAGGAAAAACTGCACCGGAAAAGGCGTATATCATGTTCTTTTTCAGATAAATCTTCTGGGAAGCGCCATCAAATGATTGATTTCTACCGCGAGCCACTATGAATTTGTTACCTAATGCTGATTGTTTATGTTCTATTTTCGCATCTCCGATTGGGTGCCATCCTTCTAGCCCGAGGTTTAACTCTGGGTTAACAATGATCCCTCCATCATACAGGGGTTTCCAAGGGTTTTCCAAACACTGAAATGGGAGACAGAGATGATTAGATCAGACTTCGGATCTGTTCTACTTTTCTATTGGTACAATAATATAACCTATTGCAAATTTATCAAGGGGTGCTTGCCTCAATACTAGCTGAGTAATCATAGGTTAATGCATCAGCTTCAAACCCTGCAAAACATTACATTTAGATTCATATTTTCTAAATCTTATGCTTTACAGAAACTAATATACACAAATGAGATTTGGTATAGAGGTTTTGCCCAAACTATTTATAGGAATTAATATATACAAATGAGATTTGGTATAGTGGTTTTGTCCAAACCATTAAGGACAGGCATTTGTTAAATTTTTTTATTTCGAAATGATTATAAATTAAGTGATTGGTAAAATTTTTTATATAACAATTTAAACTAATGAATAGAGGGTTCCTAACTACTAGTAAATTAAAATTTGTTACTTTTATTGATAAATTTCTCATTTTAATTTTTTAATTTTTGCCATGGTATTTAATTAGTAGTTACTTAATTAATTTTAACTTCTT